CAAGTTCTCACCCATTTCCAAGTCCACCTCTTCAACTAGGCAAACCTGCAGATGAACAGAGACTGGACCTTCAGCCTAGACCTTGGAGTCGGTCCAATCTCTCTCTGACCTATTTTCCCAGACCTTGGTCATTGAACCTGTACGCTCATCTCTTGTCATTCACTTGACACAAAGTCCACGATCTCAGATAAAGTGGCTGCATCAGCATACAAAAGAGAGTTCTCTTTATTGTACGAATCCCAGTTTACATTGAAGTACTAGTTGTTAGACCTAGAACAAGCCGATAGAATATTAAGTCTAGTGGCACGATTTCTCGAAGTCAGGTTAGCATTCGGCTGTTCTCTTCAAAGACACTCGCAACTCGAGCTAAAGGCTCCCACGGTCCGGCTTTTCTTGGGTTTCTTATCAACTCATCCTCCACGCTCTCCTACTTCGTGGCCTTCGAATATCGACGAACATACAATGGGAAAAGTTGAATTTATGAGTTGAAGGAACATGTCACATTACATCACTTGTTGATATGCAGGGAGTGATCCACTCTACCCTGCTCATGAGACGTAAGATGATTCAAGACAGTCCAATCGACTAATGAGCTAGTTAGACGGTCTAAATACCTTGAACTAAAGGCCATCAAACATAAGTACAACGTTGTTACATATGCTTGCTCTTGCAGATGTTACTATTCAGGAGCTACAACAACTTACTTTGACATTGTCTAAACTTCTACCCTTTGTAGAACGTTTACATGCGTGAAAAAAAAAAAAAAGGTTTATGAAAAGAACTAATAGAACAATATTCTAAACACCCTATGATCCAACTACTAGAAAACAGACAGTTTAAACGAACACACTGGTTGTTTTTTCCAAGAAAGAGAGAAGTCCATTTACACTCTATTTTATTTAATTGACAGAGAACTTTGAAATTATCTAACAGATTTCACAATCTGTTATTTTATTATTAGATTAACAATAGTACCTAGATCTATTACTCGAACTTTGTATCGATTCAAAACTGAATTGACTGGTAAAACAGCTTTAATTCTATTTCGAGAATTTCGCTTTGCCTTATGTCAGTAATTTTACGACCATCTATTGCGTCAATAAATATTTCATAACCACCCTTTTCTTTTCTAATAATCTTTACTACTTGTCCTTCAGCAGAAGAACTGTAAATAGTATTATTACTTTTACTACCATCGAGATAAATTTGCCCTCTTCCACGATTACCTCCTACATAAATAGGATATTTGAAGAAATTAGTTTGCTTGTTTATTGA